GCTTCTTGGTTGCTTTGAGAACTTTTTAGACCCCTATCCACACCCCCTGGGGAAAATAAAAGGAAATGAACCAAGCCCCAAATAGCAAAATATCAAGATTTTCAAAGAGTAAATGAAAATAAATAAATTAGAAAATGGATTGATAGACTAGGAAAAGATTGTCAGCATGTCTTGTGTGAGAAGATTTGATGTATGGCACTGTTTTGATTCAGCTGTGCTATTCAATGGATTTTTTTTTTTTTTTGAAATATTATCAACAAGGAAAAACTATGATACTTAGTAAATGAAGACAGGATGGAGTGGCAACAAGGACTAGACAAAGACCCAAAACAAACACTAATCAATGGAACTCTACCTTCATTCATAATGGTTCTCATCTTGTGGCAGGGGGCACACTATCCTGTATGAAAGGATGGCTCATTCGTTGATTTGCCTGTGAACAGTGAATGAATACTACCTTGCACCTTCTTGATATCTGTAAATCTAACAAAAACTTACTGCATTTTATTTGTACCAATTTCAATTTTAGGTGTGTTTTAGACTGCTTGTTCACAATATTCCCAATCAGAGGGTGGTTTCTCCTACAAAGGGGGAAGCAGGTTCGAATCCTGTCAGAGAGCACATTTTTCTTGTCTCTTAAATATGCAGGCTGATAGATGTAATTCATACTGTTAAAAAAAAACAAAAAAAAAAACAGGACACCTACTCAAACATGTGTACCTACTAAAATAATATTTAGAGTAATAATGTTGGATTAAAAGTAAAATTTATAAGTTCCTTAGATAATACTTTGATCTACAAAAACTACTAATGTATGTTTTATAATATGGTTGAACCAATTAGATAAATATTGGCAAAAAATAATTTAATGAAAAGCTATCAAAATGTTATTTAAATTTATTATATATCTCAAAGTGATGAATCCAGGGATGAAATTTTTGAGATGGACAAGAATAAGCAAGTATGAAAATCAATAAAGACAACTGATTAATCAGCAAATACTGATATCACTAATTAATGATTATCAGCCAATTAATCAGTGCAATCCAACTATGTAATACAAAAATGATAAATATTCATTTGTATGTGGTTTGAATAAAAAAAAAAAAAAGTTTATATTTGTCTGAAAATTCTTTTGATATCTATATTTGGAGAAAACTGAAGTAACCTGAATTGAGGTAGGAAAATTACTGTTAAGTCGAGTGGGAGCAAAACTGATTCAGACAAGAAGTTAGCATTAGAAGCTTCTTTAACATTTATTTAGAATTCATTTTTTTTTTTTTTTTTTTAAATTGTCAAGCAAAAAATGTGTCAATTATGAAAGCGAGACAATATAAAGATATATTATTGCTAATATTGCAAGGTTTTATTTAAAAGATGAAGGCAACACAAGAAGAAATCATAGAAATTCATAGCTTGATGCTGAATTTTGACTTAAAATATTTACTGTATACTGTTTAATCAGATTAATATTCCCTATTGCATCAATTTCATTGACAAGAAAGGAGATTATGTTGAAAAATATGTTATACAAAATAAATGGTATTTATATCAACCTGTGAATTTATTGCTATACTTACATACAACTTTATTGCTTCTGTCTATATTTCTGAGACAAGGTATTGTAACTATTTACATTGTTTGAACTGTTATCTTCATCTTTATTGCTATATTCACAACATTTCGGCCATTGTATGCTCCAGCCTTCTTCATGTGATATTAGTTTATTGCTTTCAACCAAAATTATTTGCACTTCATTCTATAAGTAATGTCTGAAATCTGATGGCAATAGATTGCCTGAGATTTTTTGTTATTCTAAAATGTGTAAATTATTAATATATGCTAGGACATTTTTGCCAAGTTTTAAATGAGTAAGACACATCATCATCATTCCAGTAAAAGGGCAACAATACTACAGAACAAAAAACCCCAAAATATTCATGGTCTATATTTATGAGAAATTTTTTTGAATGAAAGAAATAGCTGAAGATGGTTGGAAAGGTTTTGAACTAAAGGTAACTTCATCTTTACAGATGCTCCATCAACAGGGCATCCAGTTGAGTTTTAAAATGGCCTGCTTTAAATAGAAATCATGTTGTTACAGGTGAAGAATTATCTTAAAATTGAATCCATTTAACAGTTCCCCATCACCTTCAACAACTTAGAAATGTGCCTAAATTTAAAAAATGGGCTTCTCATTATTTGACAGAAACCAATTGTAAATCAAGAGCGAACATCAGTACTTCTCTGCATTACTGTGAGTTTATCTCATTATTTTTAGACAGATTACCAACTAGTGAGGAAAAAAATTTATATATCAATGCTGAGTGGAAGCAAATCGATTAAAGCACAAAACAAGATGGAACCTCCATCCAAGGAAAATTTTTGGTAAATGTTTGGTGAGATTGCATAAATGTTACTCATTTTGAATTGCTACAACTTCAGTGTTGCGATTATGGCTGCCATTTATTGTCAGCAGTATGAGTTTAAACAAACACTGAAGAGAAAGAGGTTCAGTTTGATCAATAACAAAGGAGTGGCATTCCAACATGATAATGCCTGACAACCTCATAAGGCAAAGATTGCATCTAAAAAGACAGATGTCCTTACAGATTCTCAATCTTCTTTCATGAGATTCCCACCTATTCCAGACTTTACAGAATCTTCTTGATGTGGGAATTCTTAAAACACATGAATAAGTATAAAACTACTTCATCTACATTGCTTGGAAAAAAGATATATAAATTTTTATATATCAAGAACAATTTTAGGGAAATTTATGACAAAATAGAAAAAGGTTTTGTTTGAAGCATTTTATCCTTTAGGACTTTATTGAAGTAAAGTGATGTTTATACTGATGCAACTACACATGTGCATGAAGAAGATGGGATGCTGAAAATTTTTAATTTAAATTAATTTTTTTTTAAATGGTAAAAACAAACAAAAAGAAAAAAAAATAAATGAAATCAGCTAGACAATATACCATGGACATATTTAAAAAAAAAAAAAAAAATGTAATTTTCAGTATCCCCATTTCCTTTGAGCATATGTCTAGTCATAATCAATTAATTCTTTTAAAGCTATATATATATATACACACATAACAAAATAATGGCATTATGAAACTTTGGAATTGTTAAAAAGGTGATTAATGATAATTATACTGCATATGTTAATGAATAAATGAAATTTTTTAGATTTTTTTCTGACCTTAAACATGAACATTACTTATTGGATAAAGTGATACTTCTAACACTGAAAGGATTTGTGTCTATACAAAGTTGTACAACAACTGTAAGTAAAACTTCAGTGAAAACTTATAACTGATTTTTTCTTAGAAAACTATTTCCAACAAGATTATAACAGCAAAGATTATTTGAAATTTCTAATTAGATTTCATAATATAGAAAATATACAGAATTGCTATCTCAAAAACATCAACTTTTTTTTTAAAGATTTATTTGAGGACAAATTAGAAAAAGTTAAAAAAAAAAGAACCAGAAAACAAAAAGCAAAAGAAAAACACCTGTCATCTAATCAGGGTTGTCTGATTGTGTGATGACTTTTGAAAGTTTAGCTCTATAAAATTTTGAATTTTGCTGATTGTAACATTTTAGACTACTTTTTAAAATAAATTGGGAAACTAATAAAAATATCAATTCAAAATTTAGTAGCAGTTGGCTTTCAGATGCAAGCCAATTTGTTACTTGTTGCTCAGTCTGGCAACCCTGCATCTAACAAATAATTCACATTCTAAAGACCAATTTCCTTGCATGGTTTCAACCCTCTGCTCTACAGGGAGAGTCTCCAAGTTTCCAAAAGTAAAACCAGATCTTGTCTGAGAAGAAAAGCAAACATGAAAGGAGAAAAATATAAACTAAAAAAAAAAAAAAGAAAAAAAAAGAAAAAAAAAAAAAAAAAAAAAAAAAAAAATAAAATAAAAATACAGACATTTTCAAATTTTCATACTAAATAAAAAAAAATTATTTTTATTTTAGAAATAAGGCTTTAACTATGTATTTAAAAAAATTAATCTTCATTGTTAATTTTCTTTTGTTTTTTTGAAAGTACCTATAATTTTTGATATTCAAATGCTGAAAACTACCAACTTTAATTCAACAGACTGATTAAAACAGTTTCTTAATTTTCTTGTTTCTTTCATAACAATGTTTATGATCACCTAAAATAGCTTTTACATATAACAGAGGCAAGGCTACCAGTTTCATTTAGCACTAAATTTAAATGATTTTGTATTCCTCACCATGAACCATTCTGCATTCCTCAGCTTTCATTGATAGTAAAGAATAAAAAAAAATGCTGATGAAGATGCAAAAAATCCATTCTATCAGAAATGGGAGGTGCATGATGACTCCATCAGCTGAGAGGGACAGGGTTTATAAGGATTCACTGAAGTCGATTCTGAAGTTTGAAGCTTTTACACAAATAGTATAAAGTGCTAAGGCAGTGATCACCATCATTATGGATAATTATCAACATGAAGGAATGAAAGGGGGCTGCTGAAGTTAGAGAGTCTGGAGGATTAAGGTAAAAAATATTATTTAAAGAAATATTCTTTGAATGAAAGGCTTTTCTTTTTTTCTACTTCACTTGAACAATTTCATTTTCTCTGTTATAATTTTTTAATGCATTCTACCTCAAATTTTTTTTTTTTTTTTTAAAAACCAATCTAAGAATTTCCTACTTCACCCTGCTTTTTGTTATTTTTTTTAACCTGAGAAAGAGTAATGTTCAGGATTTCTTTCTTTCTTGATTTTTATTTTAATTTTCTATTTTTTTTTTAATTTTTAATTATCTGAAATTCTGTTACGCTTTGGAAATTCAGTTTCCATCCCTTTCCTACCTTTCCTAGCCACCTCAAGTCAAATTTAGGAAAAAAGAAGAAAAAAGTGTGTGAGAGAGAACTGATGTCAGAAACACTACTGTGTGCGTGTGTGTATAGAGACGCCTGCAAGTTAGGTTGAAATAAATACAAAGAAGGGTTAAGCACTTAAAGTTAAGGGGCAGAGGAAGTCATATTGAGCAGAAATGAGAATAGCAAGTGTAAGACTGGAAAGGATGAAAAAGAAAGAAATTTTATCTCCCTATAATGAAAGTATACAGAAACAAGAGTACATCAGACTTCCCTGCAATGCATACAACACCCAACCTAATATTTCAAAGACGAGAAACTGTTTTATTAAATGGAGAGGAAGAATTGGAAAGACATTGAGCCAGACAGAAAGAAAAAAATGAATTAAAAAACAAAAAAAAACGAATTCTTTACAAAAATTTTCGATATGGGAAAAAAAAAAGACTTAAATGTCTCTTTCCTGATGAACTCCTATTTTCTACAAATGTAAACATCTCCAGTAGATATATATGTGTGTGTGTGTGTGTGTGTGTGTTTGTGTTTGTGACATAATGTAAAAGTGTAACAATGGAGGATTAATTCAAATTTCTATGAGCACAATATACACACCAAGTTTAAACAATAACTTGGGAATTTTCATTAAGATTACATTGAGGCATGGAATTGACTGTCACCATGCAGTATTGATCCTTATGTCTGCAAATGATCTCTCCAATGTTGAGCACTCTCCCGTCATAACTATAGCATATCTAATATATTGATCCGGGTAGATGGAGTTTGATAACCTAGGAAATCAGTCCATCAAGGAAAAGGAAAACTCTAATTTTAAACCTCAACTGTCTTGCAGTCATAACCAAACACAGAAAAGGCTATAGAAGTAAATCCAGACAGAAAACCTGGAGTGGAGCCCCAAAGGTCAACATTGACAACTTTTCTTCATATCTACAATAAAATTGTCATCCAACACTTTATTTTTTATTTCTTCCAAAATCACAGGTAGTTCCCGTAGTATTATATAGAAGATTTTTCATCTCTACTTCCACTTGTAGAGAAGCAATGATTCCATCTTCCAAAGGTTCACTATTTTTTGGTATAAGTCTGGACAATCTGTCCGCGTGACTTGATGGCAAGAATTCCATCCTGAGATCGTAATTTAATAAAATGGTTCCCCATTATTGTAGTCTATTAGCTGTATGGGTCGGTAGGCCTTTTTTGAACTCATAAATAGCTAGCAATGATACATTTGTAAGGTCAAACATAATCCCTAAACTCTCCTTTTCTATCACAGAATAATTATTTTCAGCTGGAACAAGCATCCTGGATGAGTGTGCAATAAGTTTAATCAAGCCCTCTTTGAGTTTATGCATAATGCAGGCTCCTATTCCATATGAACTAGCATCACTTGCTATGATTATTTCTTTTTTTGGGATCATAATGCATAAAAAACAAGTCTGACATTAGCATTCCTTTAATTTTTTCAAATGCTACCTGGCACGCTGTCATCCAAACCCATTTAGAATCTTTTTTTAATAGTCTATTTAACAAAGCTCACAAACAATGCATGTTTGGCACAAATACATTGTAATAATTTGCCAAACCCAGGAAACTTTGTAGGGAGCTGACATTTTCAGGAGCAGGCATGTCTTTTATAGCACTGGCTTGTGCTGGATCTGGTCTCCTGCCATTTTTGTCAATTATTTGTCCCAAATATTTGATTTTATTTATAAGAAATTTGCATTTTTCATCTTTCAGCTTGAATCCATAGTCCTGAATACCTCTGAAAAATCTCAAATACATTTTCCTTGTGTTCTTCTGGATTTCCACTTTCCAGCAAAATATCATCTAGATAAGCAACTGCAAAATCAAGTCCACTAAGCATCACATCCATTACTTGCTGAAAAATAGCTGGGGTGACCTTTATTCCAAAAGCCAAATGATTGAATTTATACATTCCTCAATGTGTGTTTAACTTAAATAATTTGGAACATTCATCATCCACTTCAATCTGCAGATACGTGTCACTTAGGTCAACTTTTGAAAATATTTGACACCCTGCTAAGTTGCACAAAAACCTCTTCCAGAAGTGGGTAATAACTTTTGAGAGCATCATTTAAGCAAATCTGAAATTAAGAGAAATCCGCACAGTCACGTATCTCTTTAGCCTTTTTCTTTATAGATACCATTGGTGAAGCCCAATTGCTATAGTCAACTTTAGATAAATCAACCATTTTTTCGAGTCAGTCGAGATTGTCATTGATCTGTTTTAATGATGCAAAGGGTACATTTCTTTTTGAAAACCAGTTGTACATTTTGCTTTAGCTCAAATTTAGCTTTCATTTTATTGCACCTGTTTAACCCACCAGAAAATACTTCTGGAAATTTAATTTTCAATTCCTTCTTTAAACTTTCTGCTTTGTTGGTAAAACCTTTAACTTCTTGACAAAACAAACTGATCAGACTGCTCCATAACTTAGACTGCTCCATCCAGTCTGTTCCAAAAAGGTTATTTGTAATTTTCATTACAGTCTTAATTTCAACGTTTTCCCATTCAACATCACATTTGTTATAAATTCTCCTTCAAATTTTATTTTCTGTCCTATAACACTACAAGCAATTTTCTTGGTAACCATTAACGTTGGTTTTCCTATTTTTTTTTTTTTTCATGTATATACATTTTTTATGCTTAAGTCAGATCCACTATCCAAATGTAATTTAATATTTTTGTTAAAGATTTTTACCTGCACAAATTTTCTTATATTCAAACTGGCAGATTAATCCACATTAATAACTTTAACTAATTATTCACTAGTTTTTTTAAGTTTACCATACAGTGAGTTTTCTTATGTCCCTTCCTTTTGCAACGAAAACATTATTTCTGTATGGACAGTCATTATAAAAATATAGTTCTCCAAATGAATAACAGGGGTCAGGAGTAATGTTTTTTTCTTCTTCACTTTTTCTTGACGCATTTTTTTAATGTATGACACACTGCTTACTTCAATATCTTCTGCATCTTGTCGAACATTTATAAACCTCTGACAATCTTCTGCTAGGTTTTGTAAAGTCAGATTGGGTTATTTTTCAAGCCTATTTAAAACCCTTCTCCTGATTTCGACATCTTTTGTTGGCGCCAACCCATGAACAAATATCAGGCATTTAAAATTGTCAGGACTTAATTCTGCCAGTTTGAACCCCTCACACTGATTGTTCACAATGATAGCGAATGTTGTGAAATCTTCATTTTCCTATTTTACTAATTCATACATTTCCATCTTTTATGGAACAACGTCATCTTTTGGCTGAACACTTCAGAAAGCAAAGTAACAATTTCTTTAAACATGAGGTCACTAGTTTGTTTTTTGGTAATATGTAATTTACGAACTTTGGGTGTTTTGACAGCACCTAGTTTCCTTAGCACTAGTCTGACCTTTTTGTGGTTAGACCAATTTGTACACTCCATTTTGTAAAGGTCTTCATATCTACAGAAATATGATGTAAATTTTACTTCTTCTGGCATATAATTGAATTCAGCAATTGCATTTACGATAGCCTCCTGTGGAAAAACACCTGAATCTTTGTTCTTGTTACTCATTGACATTTTCTGTTAATGTTCGACAAAACAATTCTTTGAATTTTTCAAGTCTTTGTTCATAATGTCTCCATTGTTCATTTTGTTGTTTCAATATTTCCAGTAAAGCTGTTTTAAAATCCTCTATTTTGTACTGTTATATGAACTAACTTTTCACAAATGTGTGTGCGTGTGTATATATATATATATATTTTACATAACTGTCTTTCAAAAACACTTCAAATTTATCTTCCAATGTAACACCTTTACACCAAGAAAACCCTCCCAACAAATACATGATTTTTGTAAACTGAAAAATACAATTTTCCAATTTCATATACCTTTTGTTACGTGTCCAGTTCTTTGTAGTTGGAATAATATCCTGTATTTTTCTGAATGTTTATTTCAGAACAACTTGGTTAATATCCATGTATCCTTAGAAAATCCTTGTAGCCAAAAATGATTTACAGCTTTGATAATTTCTTGATCTTCCTTCGCTAATGTAGGCTTGGTGAATTTTTAAAGGAGTTTTACCGATATCTTTATTTGTAGAACATTGTATTTGTGAACATTTATATAAGTTCTGTTCTGTCAAAATCTTTGTTCACCAAATGTTGTACTGGTGAATGTTTACTTAAGTTCGACCAAATCTTCATCGCCAAAATGTTGTAACCTAGAAAAGGTTACTGAATGAGAAATAACCAAAACAAAGGTTGGAAATGAAATTGTAATCTTTATAACATCAACAAAATACAATACTTGCCAGCGGGATAAAATAAGTAAAGCACTGCTAGTGATGGACTACTTAGACAGCATATCACCCCCACTTAAAATAGAGTCCAATGTATTTAATTAGTGTTCGTAAGTACAGTATATAACAGGTGAGATATAAGTTCCGCTCCAAAAGCCTTTTCCCCACAAACTGCTACATTGTGGAACCAACTTCCAAGTGGATGCTTCCCAATCATTACAATCTTAACCTGTTTAAGTCTAGGGTTAACTGTGTCTCTTAGTTTATAACCCTTTACCTTGAGTGGCTGCAGGGCCTTGTACAAGTGAACATCAACATCATTACAAAAGATGAAAAGAAAAAAAAAAAAAAGGATGAAAAGAAAAAAAGGATGAAAAGAAAAAAAGGATGAAAAGAAAAAAAGGATGAAAAGAAAAGAAAAAGGATGAAAAGAAAAAAGAAATGAAAAAAAGAAATAAAAAAACAAAAAAGATGAAAAGAAAAAGAAAAACATAAAAAGAAAAAAAAAGAAAAAAGATGAAAAGAAGATGAAAAGAAGAAAAGAAAAAAAAAATGAAAAAAAGAAATAAAAAAAACAAAAAAGATAAAAAGAAAAAGAAAAACATAAAAAAAAAGAAAAAGAAAAACATAAAAAGAAAAACATAAAAAGAAAAAAAGAAAAGAAAAAAGATGAAAAGAAGATGAAAAGATGAAAAGAAGATGAAAAGAAGATGAAAAGAAGATGAAAAGATGAAAAGATGAAAAAGATGAAAAGAAGATGAAAAGAAGATGAAAAGATGAAAAGATGAAAAAGATGAAAAGAAGATGAAAAGAGAAAAAAGATGAAAAAGAAAAAAATATATTTTTGATAATCTCTAATATTTTATATTCCATTCTAAAATTATAAAAACACACAGAATTTTCAGTTACTGCTTAAAATAAAAATTGAAGGGGAGATGATCTGATAAGAAAGTGTAATACCTGGACTATGTACTGCAGGTAAGTAGACATTCTGTCCACCAAGTTCAGTTCATTTCTTGATGTAACAATCTTATCTTTTTCGATATCTTGTTGAAGGCAAAGAAAGTGGTTGTATATGAAAAATATTTTTCACTGAAGCATAATATGACAAACAGAATGGTACAAAAACAAGATGAACAGAGATGTTTCAATATTTAGCTTCAGTTTCTCTTATCACATCACGGTTTATAAGCAAGACAATTACCTGTTTTATAAATAAAAATAATTGAGAAAAAGACAAACATGTAAATATAAAGACATAAGCAAGATGATGATGATGATGATGTCTGTATAATTGATTTTTTTTTTCACCTATAGAAGCAAAGTTTTAACAAAAGGTTTCAAGTACCAGGGAATTGAATTAAAGTCTAAATTTAAAAAAAAAAAAATCATTATTTTTGGATTTGGCACATTCTTAAAAATTTACTGGTACAAAATTCTTTAGGGACAAAAGATAAATGGGTGAGAATGTGCAGATCTCCTCTTTATCTTGCTCTTCTGAGTTGGCAAGAAAGTTGTGCAAACAGGCAGCAAACAGTAATTAGGAAGTGTAAGCCTTACTTTGCTCTTCAGCAGTAGCAGGATTGCTAAACAAGCAGGCAGCAATCATGTCCAAGAAAGTGTTGGGCTCTGCTTTATCTTACTCTCCAGAGCAGACTAGAATGTTGTCGGCAGGCAGAAATAATGTAAAGAAGGCCAAATGAATAAAAAAGAATGATTCTTAAGAATTTTCTGAAATTCTAATGAACAAGATCTGGTATACAATAGATCTTAAGTATACAAAAGGCTTTCAGAGATAGTTATGAAAATGAAAAATTCTACATTGTTTTTTTTTTTTTTTTTTGTCAGCTTGGACAGTTTGTAAACTGAAATTATTTTTGTTCTCAATTCACATGAATAGTGCATATGTTAAAAAGTATTAGACTGACCACAATAAGGAAGAAACTTCTTTTTTGAAATTTGGTATTTGGGAAGCATTTTTCCAAATTTTTAGGCAAACAGTTGAGTTTATACTTCGAAGTTCATATTAAACATCAATTATCTTTGTGCTTAAATAAAACTTCTGTTCAGTGTATCTTCAACAAGTCAATGAGCAGCACTCTTAGGTTTTCTTGGGAAAAATCTCAACTTGCATTAAATAACAAAGAAACAAAAGCGCTGGCAAAAACAAGTCAATTGTTCTTTAAAAATACAAATATGCAGGATTATGAGTCACTATGTCTAAAAAGAGCAAATAATTTTAATCTATCCTAAACAATACTAACATAGTTGGATGATATAAATAGGCAGTGAAGATTTGGCTTTGTTTACAAAGATGTCAGGCCAAGTGTTATTGCAAAAAGACAAAAGAGATTCTAGGAATATTATCAAACTTATTCTGAATGAGAAAAACCTTTTTTCATGTGTGTTTAACTTTGCAAATTCAATCAACTTGATTTTCTACATGGTAAAAATTCTAAAAAAATAAAAAAAATAACATTTGCTTCATGTAATCAAAAATGGCAGCACATTTATCCACACTTTGTTAGACTCAACAATAACTGACTCACTTTCCAAGTTGGACAAAAAAATCTGAACTTTGAACTTCTACATCAAATTCATAAAAAACATGCAAATAAAACCAACAAATTGATTTGACTAATGCATGTTTTTCCATGCAACACATTATCAAATGCCAATAAAAACAACAAGAACAAAAAGCTGACTAGTGAATTCAAATGCATAGTTTATTCATTTACAAAAAAAAAAAAAAATCTTTTTACAAATTTATTAAATTGTCATTAATTTAAATCATAACAAATTAACCACTTTTATTTACTACTCAAACTATTTTAATTTTTGGCTACTAAGGTCATTTTTCTTTCACTAACCAAATTAAATTATTTGTTATTTCCATGGAAAAAGTTCTATCAACATTCCTTAGTTTCTCCAGTTCTAACTTTCACAGCTAGTACCTGCCATGCCAAATACACAGGGACCAACCATCATTAGTAAGAAGGAATTTTCACTCAAACAGTTTCTTCCCATGAACTTTGTGGAAGAGACTCTCAAAAGTATGCTTTCCCAACCGCTACATTCTTAACTTCTTCAACATTATCTTTCCTACATTTACTCATAAACTGCACTTACTTTTACCACTCATACAACCTCCTTCAGTAACCACTTGAGTGGCTCTTGGGCCTTATATTAACATTAGTTAAAAAAAAAAAAACACTGTATCCAATGAATGGTATTATGGATAGGTGGCCAAACAATGAAAGCTTCAACTGGAAAGCAAGGGAGATAGAAAAAGAGTGATGTGTACAAAAGTGAAGAAGCACATGTAAAAGTGGTTGCCCGATTGGCTGTTAATTACAGCATGTGTTTCTAGCACAATAATAATAATACATTTCAGCCTTGGATTTTTTTAGATTGATAAAACTATTATTTTATCATATCTATTGAAAAACGAAATGAAGTAACTAAATACTAAGAAATATTCATCAGAGCTGAAATAATCAAAAATGATCAAATTCAAACAGTCAAGCCAAACTTTTTATCATAAACTTGTAAATTGGCTGACAATGTATTATTTGCTTGGACTCCTTCAAAGATAAAATTAAGAAAAATTCTACCAAAAATTCATTAACAAAGTTAGCAATGGTAGATTTTAACAGAATTAATATATTTAGCATTTCAGCTAATCAGTTCTTTATCACTGATCAGATAAATACAGCCAGGTGAACAATCTTGAATATTTATTGAAACAGCACAAATTTTATTTGTATATGTTCTATACTATTATTATTATTATATATCGAATCTTTAGACAGTTTACATGAAAAAGAAATTTAAATTAGATTAGCTGTTAAAAATTTTATAAAATCTTTAATAATCTAATTTTATAAATACAAGGTACTCAGTGTTATTTTCTATATTATTTTTTTCAAACTTTTTTTTACAGTCTATCAGTGAAAGAATTACTCAATCATTATAAATAAACACTAAAGCTTCTGATTAATTTTAATTAGCATAGGTTTAAGTTGAGTTTGAATCTAAAGGTGTATCTGTATTTAATTTAGTAATTTGAAAGATATTTTTAAAAACAATGTTGACTGACAACAAAGAATTTATACTTACACTGCTAAAAATAAAATGTTCATTTCACAAAATAAACTTGTACAACTTGTTTGCAGTAATCTAAATTGCACTAATAATAGAATTTCAAAAACATTGCAGGAAATATAAACAACAAATAATCTTTTATTAAAAAAAAACAAGGTTGAATTGAGGAAGTGATTCTACATCTAAGCCAGTGGTTTCATGTCTGTTGTTGATATCTGTACCAATTGCTTTGGGATAATATTTCATTTAGACAAAACTTTAGACAAACACCTCGGTCTTATTACAAGAGCAGATCAATCAGTCAGTCATTGTGGCATAACAAACATCTTTATTTTGAATAGATGACACTAACAAGAGATAAAAATAAAATAAAAGAACACTTCATGCATGCAGCACAATTTCCTCTTGCTACTTCCTACTTATTTACTACCTCTCTTCTTCCCTTCAATTGTCTTACTTACACACAATGTGAATACTGTATTAAAAAAAAAAAAAGAAGCTTTACTGTTGACTAACAGAAACATAACTAAAACTAATTAAAAACAATAAACTCAGATAATACATAATATAGTTTATGTTCAAACCAATAAACTGTCCTTATTTATTAATAGTTTCTCTATAAGCACAAGTATTCAAGGCATACATTTTATTATCAGTTTCAAGAAAAAGAAAGTATTTACTGAACAGTATTATTTTTAGAAATCAGTTAGCTTTGTTATTATTTTTCATTAGCTTTATTACTTAAATGTTATTTCTAGTGGATACCTGTATTTGAGTAGACACTGTTTATTTATTAAACAGTAAATTTATTTATTTTTGTCTACCAACCTGAATATTTGAGAAATCTTATTAAAAACTCCCACATCTGCTTGACTTTACCTGGGTTTCTTGCATGCACTACCTTCTTTCACCTGAATCACAGATTTTCAATTGGGCTTAGATCAGGACTTTGACTAAGCTGTTCCATGATTTGAAATTTCTTTTTACAAATCCATTCTTTTGTGGATTTGCTTTGATGCTTTTAGGACAAGATATTTGTTCAAAATTGCTTGGTATCTTGCAGAGACCATTGTGCCGTCAATGCATACTATTTTGTCTGTTCCAGCTGCAGCAAATCATAATGCTGTCACCACCATGTTTAATGGTTGGTATCAAATTCTTCTCTTCAAAAGCTGTATTAGGAGCTCATTAGATATACAACCTATTGTTTCTTCCAAAAATCTCTAGTTTGGTTTCATCCAATCATAAAACCTTTTGTCAGAATGTTTCTAGCTTATTAATATGAGCTTTGGCATAGTTTAGGTGAGCATGCTTGTGCTATTTTGTAATCAGTGGCTTTTTCTAGGCATTCTGTCAGGAAGATCAGCATTGTTCAGATTTTGTTGCACTGTAGATGTATGCAAATTGATAGCAACATTGGCCAGTGAGCATTGGAGAACCGTGAAGGTCACAGCAGGATTTGCCTGGGTTTGCCAAACTAGATGTCTACTTGCTCTTGCTGTTATTTTTCATGGACAGCCACTTCTTGATTGTGATATTGTCATAGCAAAAGTTTTTCATTTATAAATAATTTGTTTTATGGTAGAGAACTCCACTCCAAATTATATTAATAGCTTTTTGTAGCCTTCTCTATCATTATACGTTTGAACTATGTGAGTTTTTAAAGCTTCAAAAGTTCTTTTGATCTTTGTGTGTGTGTGTGTGTGTGTGTATATATATATATATATATATATATATATATATATATATATATATATATATATATATAT